TTCAGATTCAGATGTTTTGATGGTTGAAACACCAAATCCAAAATGAAATGCAGGGCTCCAAAAGCATCTCTGAAACAAAACGGGCCATCTGAAACGTTTCAGAAATTTTCCAAAATGATTCAGATGTTTCCGAAACATTTTGCATGTTTCAGAGCTGTTTTGAGCTGTTTCAGAGGCAGGCTTGCATGGAAAGAGGGAGGGGAAGGACTGCTTTGATATTGACATCTGTAGCTGGCCAGTGACAACAATCTGTCCCCGAGGTCCCTTCCAATCCCAAGGCTCTGCGGGAGGGACAGAGAAGCATACACAAAGTCACATGTCACGAGTTTTGCTTGTCAGCAGTTTGAGGTGCAGTTTCCCAGAAACCCCTTCACCTATCTCCTTGAAACTTGGCAGGCTCCATGGACTCAGAAGGAGCTACCATCCCTCCAAGTGTCTTCCTAATCAGGAAGGAAATGACAAAGTTATAGGCAGTTTTGTGATTCCCCATTATAGTTTATGGCCAAAACACTGTAAAAATTCCAAAACAGCTTCAGCCAAAACACAATGGGACAGTGATTCGAAACACTGAAACGAATCACTGTCGCTCTAAAATGCTGAATCTGAAACAAAAAGAAACACACCTGTTTTGGACAGCGCTGGTAATTACCAAATCAAGGCAAGCCAACTTGAATGGGAATTTTCTGGAAGTTCTGAAATAAATAGTTGTTTTGTTAGGAGGTTTTTTGCTTTTTATTCTTGTGTTTTCATAACTCTCTTTTTACCTAAGATAAGAGGTTTAAAAAACAAAAACTCACTGAGAAAGGTTATCTCTTTGGTATTTTGTAGTATCCATGTCTCACTTGTGTCTGTCTATCTGTATATTCAATGGACATAACTTATTTGAGTGCCCACATTGTATTTCATGCAATAAGTTTACTATTAATAGTGGGCTTCTTACTGACTTTTTACCAAATGATAATTAATTCAAAACTATGCAGCTGTTTAAATATATCATAGTCAATAGTTTTTCCCATGTAAATGCCTTATTTCAATTCCTATTCTCTGGGATTAATTTTTTTCTTATATGAAGCTCTTCCATACACCTTAGCCAGGCAAAAATATCATTGAATTACAAATGACCCAAGCTTTGGTCAAACAATACTTAAGTGGTATTGTTTTTATTTATTTTATTGTTATGCTTCACTGTACTACACTTTATTGAAATATCTTTGTTAAATAAATACTAATTCTGATGCTGCCAAAATTGGGAAGCATTAGAAATCGTGCTGGCAACTCTGTTTGCACAAGATTGCCACCTGATTGCCTGGCCAAAGCAGTTTGCATAAGATTTATCTAAATATTTATCTTTTAGATATATGCCTCTTCTAAAAATTCACGATCCACAACTATGTACAGTGCCCTGCTCTTAATCTCTTAGGCTAGGGACATAAATTACACATAAACTGATGTAAGTGATCAGAAACCAGACAAGCACAGCTGGCCAGTCTGGGATTAATAAGCAGGCTGCTGGCAGGTCAGCTGATAGAGCACATGACCAGAAGAGGCAGGGGTCTGGGCATATAAACCAAAGCCAGAGCAGGCAGCCTGCCCTGTAAGCTGTAAGGGAAGGAGCTGTTAGAAGGACTACTGTGAGGGATACCTGGTTCATTGCTGAGCTACCAGTAAGGCTCTGGAGACTTGAAGGGAGTTCCCCAGAGTTGGGAGAGCTTTGTGCATACAGCTAGTGAGCTGAGATTTATGTTTGAAGCCAGTGTGGGGATAGTTTGAATTATAGCCAGGGACTTACATTTTGTTGTACTGTTTACATGGTGGCTTAGGTTGAGGACTAAGGGGGTGATTTGGCAGTCCCATTAGTGCCCTAGAGGCACCTGTTTACTATAAGCTATGCCTGGGGCAGGTTCAAGGCATAGCCAAAGGCCAGAGCCCAGAGTGAGGAAGAGTGTGGGGCCAGAAGGCCCAAAGCCTGAGGGGCAGAGATTGAGGCTGGAAGGCCCAGCACCTGTGAAGGGCTGAGGCAGGGAGCTGGGAACCCTGAAGTTTGGTTCAGTTAATGAACTAGAGGTAGAGGGCTCAGCAAAAGGTGGAAGCCAAGAAGGCTGAAGCCTGACACAGGAAAAACAACAGGGTCTCCCAAAGACCCTTGGGCAGCCTCCCTCCTAATTGGATTTAACAACAAAGGTATGGCAGGAAAGAGCAGGCAGTGAAAGGGCACCCCAAGAGCTAGCGCCATGGAAGGAATTGAGGAGCTGCCAGGGGGTGTCACAGCTGGCCCTGGAGCATGAAGCTGCTACAGGCACCTATACATGTGCTCTGGGGAGAGGGGAGGGGCTTTTTAATTAAAATGGGTCTGAGGAGAACTGCGCTAACTATAATGCCTGCAGTGTCTTGTGTATTCAGTATCCCACAGTTCAAAATGGTGGCAGGGGCATCTTAACTAAAGTGCCTTCCATGATTAATCGAGTCTGCTCCAACGCATTCTAATTGGAATATGTTGGACCAAGTGGAAAAGTGCCCAAAATGACCAACCCAGGTTTAAGATGGACCTGGATAGATGTAGTATTAGACTTAACTGATTTAGGTTAAACTAGTCTGGCAAACACCTGTTGCAGATCTCCTCCTGACACAAGTTACTTTGCAGTCCCCCCACATCCCAGGATGCTTTGAACCCTCTCTTCAGACCCCCCAGGATGGGTTGCTTGGACACTTCTCACTCTTCCCATCCCAGCTCTGGCTGCCAAGCCCTGGTTTACCCCCCTCCCCCCTTCCCAGCATGGATGGGCAACTTGGTTCTGCCACTTCCACAGCTGGGAGCGGGGGAAGCATTCTCTCAGGCCAGGTGCCTGCCCATTCAGCTGGGCATGAGGGTACAGGGGGAGCCCTGTACCTCAGGGGGCTTCCCCAGCCTGGCACCGGACTGGGTCAGGGGTGTGTGCTTGGGCAGTCAATCAGGGATGATCACTCTTGGCTGGACTGGGCTTAGCAATGGTCAACAGGCTGGCAGGTGTGTTTCAGGACCCCCTGCCTTCTGGCCTGGGCCAGTGCAGACCTCCGCTTGTCTTTCTCAAGTGAAACTTAAACTTGACATCTTCAGTTTGTTATTGATTCAAGCTATGCAGCTTAGAGAAACCTGCATATATTGGATCGATTCTGCCTCGGGCTTTTTGAGCGTTTGTACGTAGCCTTGGAGTTCACGAAAAACAAGAGGACAGTCCTTCTGAATGATAGTTTATTTCATGGTTATCTCATATCTACATATTAATGATTTTAGTATAAGGAAATGATGTTCATTGTGGAAGTACATGCAAACAGATGCAGCGTAATGCCTCTGAGTAAAAAGTGAAATCCATTTGCTATTTAGTTAAGAAACTGAGTTTTTTTGCTACATGCATGGAGCACTGGTGCAGGAAGGTTTTCTCATAAGCATGCAGAAATACTTTCAAATGGTTTTCATCCCTGTTTTATATATACATAAAGAAAGGCATTGGATTAGTGTGTTCTTTTGATAAAATTACACACTGTACCTTTATTTAGAGACAATGAGAGCACCTGTACACATGCCTGACACCTGCTCCAGTGCATTCTAATTAGTATGCATTGGAGCGGACTCAATTAATGCTAATTAGCATGCTCCAGTGGCCTTGTCATCATGTGTATTAAGCATCCCTGCACTTAAAAATCTCAGTGGGGGCACTTTAGTTAAAGTGCCCCCGCTGCCATTTTTAAGTGCAGGACACTGAATACACGAGATACTGCGGCATTTTAATTAGAGCAGCTCCTAAGAGCTGCTCTAATTAAAAGAACTCCCCTCCCCCCAGCAAGTGTAAAGATGCCTTGAGATAAGATAGATGAGGGACAAATAACTAGATAATTATTTACAGGTGATCAATTGCTTTATTACATTTTCAAATCGTTGTAGTGGGAAGTAGGTGATTTGTTACTGAAAGCTTCTACCCAGGTGAACCTAGCTATTGCCATTTTATCATCAATAGGTGGGAGATTACTCTGTTAGGGCAATGCTGGATTTACACACAGTAAAATGTAAGTGAAGCCACTCCCACTCCCTTTTTCCTCCCCTCACCACACTGGAGGAAGCATTATCCAGCAACTTGAAGCAAGCAGCTGTCATCTGCCACAATGGGAACAAGATATTTGCAAAGTAATGTCCATATTCTAGGTCTGGCCACTGTACATTGAGCCCCTTTGCTAGGTCTCTAAAGCAATTTAAATTTAACTCCTATTGTTCAGCAGTATAGTTACAGACTTTGGGCTGGCTCTCACACCAGCATCTCACATAGGAGGAGTTATGCTGGAGTAAGGGGGATAAGATTGAGGCTCCAAATTTTGGTAGTAAATATACAAGAGTACATGTAGGTAATTAATGTACTTTATTAGTTGGGGCAGGAGTCTCTCATCTGTATGTTCAGAGCATTTTTTATGGACAAACCAACTGTTGGGTAGGGGTTGGAAGTGCGTATATGGGAGTTGCATATAGCCCCAACTCATTCTGTAGTTAGTCCTGTTCACCCAAATCTTATTACTGGTTTGTACGCTCCAATACTTACACATGTCAGGAAACAAATGTAACATATGGTTTTCAGTGAGTTATTCAAGAAAATGATCAAACTAATTGACACACAGGTGTCTACAGGTAGAAATAGATACCTTTCATAACCCATTGACATGTACAGCATGTGTAATAGAGTATTTGTTTTTTAAACTTCACCCCCCGCCCCCTTTGCTCCTCATATAGGTTGTTGCGTTACAGTCTTATTACATTAGGATGTGACATTCCCGGCCTTGACAGTGCTTTTGTTTGGATATTTATAGCAGCTTCTGGTCATTGTGGAGCAAAGGAGATTGCCCTGCCCTCTGGCCCTTTCTTAAGCTGATTTTGGGCAGAAGCTCTTCTCATGTGGCACTAATTGAAATGATTGGTGGAGGGGGTGTTGTGAGCTCACTGTGCCTGACTCGGGCTTATCTGCCAGGGGCTAAGCTAAGGGAGAAGGGGGGTGGGGGGGAAGCAAAAGCTTTGCCTCATTCCAGTAGGGCTCAGGGCTCTTGGCCATCTGTCCACACTTGGAATCAGAAGACAAATAGAGGGACCACACTCACTTTAACTCTACAGAAGGAAATTGTTCGGAAACTCTGGCTGAGCTTTTCATCTAAAGTGCGGGCTGGAGACCAGCTCAGCAGGTCAGTACTTCTACCAGTCAGATTTATTTATTCAGATGATGTTCAGGGTTTCAGCTGCAAAGCTTTCGTATTAGAAACGCTGTATTATTTTCTGGAATTTATAGTGTGACCAAAGGAATCCTTTTTTTTTTTTTTTTTTTTTAAAAGAA